TGAAATAAATTTATAAAAATCGCTTGCGTTGTGAAAAAGTCATCAGTTGCTATCAAGTTGTACTGTCAGTGTAGGCAGGATGAGTGATTTTTTATGAAATCATTTCCATTATATTTAAGTTGGTTTTGATTAGGTATGACATAAGGCAGTACATATCTGCTTAGTAAACTTACTCAGTGACATATACTTAGCTGAGTAAAATGACTGAAATACGCACATATTTGAAAGCAGTGGGTAACGGAAAATGAAATACCCACTCAACATTCATAATACCCACTCCAAAAAATTACAGTGGGTACAGTACCCACATGAGGTAAATCTTATCTGGAGCTCTGCAGCTATATGTTCAAGGTTGAAGGGTCCTTACCAAACTACAGGAAATATGAAGGTCCTATACAGTAATGAGTGAGTGATATGGTTTTATGCCGCTTTTAACTGTATTCCAGCAATATCACTAAGGGGGGACCCCAGAAATGGGTTTACTCTTTGTACCCATGTTTGGAATTGAACTCCGATCTTCGACGTGACTAGGAAACACTTTCACCACTAGACTACCCCACCAACCCTTGTAAAGTAACGAAATGGTGTAGTGTGCTGTATTGTTATATTTCTTGTCAAGAGTATGCCACAATGAATATCATTCTGTATCCCTCAGGATTCAATTTATTTTTATCTACATTCTTTTTACTCATTTGTGTTTACAAAATGCACATTTCTGCATCACATAGAATCCCTGACTATGTTGTGTCACTTATATTGACATTCAAATTTCTCCAGACCCTAAAGATTAAAGTTATAAGCAAGTCCGATGCAAGTCTAGAATGATTGTAGCTATGTATTTTTTAAAAATACCCCATATATTAGCATGCCATGGCACGGTAAATATCGAAATGGCATGGGAAAAAATGTTCTCGGTACCCTTATGGCACCGCCTATGTTATTAGAGACTTAACACACCTTTGGACTCTTAATAACCAAACAAAACACTTATGCAAATGACAACCAGGCAAAAACATTTATTGACTTTATCGCCCAGGAAATAACTGGAATTATGATGGTTCATGTAAAGAAATCTGGTTGTTTTTTCATTTAGAGTGTTGTGAGTACTGATAGTTCAGTTATTGAAGAGGAAATTGTGTATGTTAGATATATAGAAAAAAGTGAACCTCTCACACAATTCTTAGGTATTAAAGGTGTTGGGAAAGCAGAACAAATGAAACATAAGAAAGCCATCTTAAGCAGAAGACATATCAGTGATAACAGAAAACTGGTTACATTTGTTGTTTTCTGACAATAAATTTCAAAAATTCATCATCTTGCTACAGTCATTTATTCTAAAAACATGTGGGTACACCTGAATTCTGAAAGGCACACCTAAAATATTTACCTGGTGCCTAAAGTATTTCTATGCCTGATTTAGATAAATCAATTTCTGGTGCTGAATGTCTGTGTTTGTCAAACTAAAACAATTCATTCATGATATGCAATATTCGGCCATCTACTAGTCATCCCACTGGGCTTGAACAATCAAGATAATGGCATCAATATCAGCTACTGAGTATAACTGTTAGACGCTGTAGATTTATGCAAATGTTCGACTGGCTATGTCCAGAAGACGACTTGGGGGAATTCAGTTACAGCATCTCTTCATCAGGCGAAAGGGGCGGTGGGGTAGCCTAGTAGTTAAAGCGTTGGCTTGTCACGCCGAGGACCCGTGTTCGAATCCCCACATGCGAAAATGATGATGATGATGATGATGATGATGATGATGATGATGATGATGATTATTACTTTTAGTTATTGAAATAGATGATAACCATGGCAATAATAGTGACTTCGACGAAATGTAATCTGAGAGGAATTTACATTTGAAAAGGAAATGAGGAGTTCAGACGTATTACCACAGTTATCAAGTTGACTGTTGAAACTGTGTGACAGGTACACTGGTAAATTGGCTCTTTTCCTGATTTGTCTCACAATATCAGTTTTTAATGCTTGGTGCATCAGGGGATGAATCACTGTTTCATGGGCGTATCCAAGAATTTTCAAAGGAGGAGGTTCAGGGGGTTCGAACCAGTGCAAAATGTGGTCTTTAGTCATTTTCAAAAACAAAAACAAAACACACACGCACAGACGCACGCACACCAGATCCGCCAATGTGTTTAATGTTATACACTTGACGAATACATTCAAAATGTTTACGTAATTCCAAAAGGAAAGATTGCAAAGATAGAGGTTTATTTTCAGTTACCTCCCTTTTCAGTTACCTCCACCAGTGAAGAACATTAGCTTCAATGTGGTCTTTAGTCATTTTCAAAAACAAAAACAAAAACAAAACAAACACGCATGCACGCACGCACACGCACACGCACACCGCACACACACCAGATCCGCCAATCTGTTTATTGTTATACACTTGACGAATACATTCAAAATGTTTACGTAATTCCAAAAGGAAAGATTGCAAAGATAGAGGTTAATTTTCAGTTACATCCCTTTGTGCATTCATATGCTTCTCTCAACAATGGGGCTGTGGGGTAGCCTAGTGGTTAAAGAGTTTGGTAATCAGGCTGAGAACTGAGAGCTGTGTGGTTGACTTTCGTGCGCTTCCGGGAGCATGTTCAGGGCCATGTGGTTCGTCTTCAGTTAGACTACCGTACGGCCATGACGTACATCCTGAAGAAAGGCGGCACGGTGTCCCTAGAGCTCCTTCAAGAGACGTGGGAGTTTCTCCTCTTGTGCGACCAGTGCGACTGTCAGGTGATTCCTGTCTATCTCCCGGGGCTAGAGAACGTGCGAGCAGACGCGCTCTCTCGCCGGATCCTGGCCCCGCACGAGTCGATGTCGATCGGCAGAAATTCGGTGTTATCTCCAAGTTGTATGGGTCGTTCCAGGTGGATCTGTTTGCGTCCGGCGGGACAAATCAGATACCCGTGTTCTGCTCTTGAATACCGGACCAGAGGGCGTTGGCTTCCGACGCCTTCCTACTGGATTGGACGGGCAAGGTGCTGTGGGCGTTCCCGCCACTACCATTCATTCCCGGGTCCTCTCCCAGCTGTCCACCAAGCCAGCTTGGCTGCTGGGTGGCGTGGATCGGGTTCGACCTGCTCTCAGGCGTACCAGCCCACCTTGGGATTTGTCAATCGTGCTTGATTGGCTGTCCCGTCCTACTTTCTCATGTCTATCGGCTATTTCCGTTCAGCTGTTAACATGGAAGGCCGTTTTTCTGGTGGCGGTGACATCTGGGAGAAGGGTCGGTGATTTACATGCTATGTCTGCAGACCCGGCGCTGACTGTGTTCCATCCAGATCGCGTCAGTATTCGCCTCCCAGATTACCGTCGGTTACTGTCCGAAGATCGATCATGCTTTCCATTTGGCAGCTCCTATCGAACTTCCTACACTTACCCAGCTTTCCACATCGGGGACCTCTGCAACGAGCACTCACCCGTTGGACGTCCGTAAGATCCTCAAGGTCTATATCAAACGAATACAAGGGATCCATACGGGTACCCATCTGTTCTGCTGTTATGGTGGCGGGAGGGCTGGGGCTCCTGCCAGCAAAATGACACTTTCTCGCTGGCTTGTGTCGGTCATTTGTGTGGCGTATCAGGCTAAGGGCAAGCCTCCCCCTGAGGTCGATGCACATTCCCGTGATCGAGCACGCTTTGGCCGTTCTGTTTTCTCCGGTGGACAGTGTCCTGCCACCCTGACCAAGTGAGTCTTGGTTATTTGGTTTTCAGACACTGTGTTCAATTGTTGTTTAATTGATATATGCGCTGTTGATTCTTTCAATTGCTCGGTTGAGATATTCGGCTGTGAGTTGTGGTTTTCCCCTTATGGTGCTCTCTGTAGAAGCGGAAGCTTCGGGGACACTTGACAGGTGAGTCTTATGGTGTGAGTAACTTTTTGTAATTACGAGATCGCTATTTATTTGAACTGTGACAGAATTCCCTCCTCCCTGGTCTCCGATCTTTGGGAGTCTGTGTTAATGCATATATGTACCCCATGGACGATCTCTATGAAAAAGAATTAGATAAACTTGTAGAGGTGTCCAATTCTTTGAAGTGAATCGTCCTTAGGGTAGGGCCGCCCACCTCCCCGCAATTCTGTTCACTGATTTGTTCAGCAGAAGGAATGATGATACGGGCTTAGGTGCTTACCTGGTTGGCTGCGCATGTGTGACAGGGAGGTAACTCCACGTGTTAGGAGCCGTATAATAAGATTTTTGGCATTTATATTTTCCCCAGTTTCTATGGAAACGATTCGGACTTAGTCTCAAAAGGGAGGGATGGGCTTAGTTTCCGTAGCACAACCCGAAAACTTCTTAATATCTTTCAGCAAAACTTGGTAGATATGTGAGGCAGATCTTGAAGTGGTGCCTTTTGCTATTTGCAGATTTTTTGGCATTTTAATTTGTCTCGGTTTTCATGGAAATAATTCGGACTTAGTCTCAAAATGCTGGGGTGGGTTTCGTTTCCGGAGCACAACTTGAAAACCGTTCAATGTCTTTCAACAGAACTTGGCAGATATATGAGGCAGATTTTGAAGTGGTGTCTTTTGCTATTTACATATTTTTGGCATTTATATTTTTCCCGGTTTCCATGGAAACGATTTTGACTTAGTCTAAAAAAAAATCAAGCTTGACTTTCAGATGATTTGTTCTTTAAAAAATGTGGGGGCCAGGGGGATATGTCATCTTCTGATGACTCTTGTTTTCTGTTTTCATGGCAACAATTTGGACTTTGTCTTTTTTTAAGGGTAAAGTTCATTTCCGGAGCAAAATTCTGGAACTAATTGACCCATCTTCACCAAATTTGCTACACTGCCTCTCTATATCATGTAGATGTGCCTTTAGGGGGTTTGAACTTTTCTTTCAATTTTATTTTGTTCTGTTTCAATTATTTTTTTCTGTTAGGTCTCAATGCTGAATTGAGGGAATGGGGAGACATCTGTTTTTACGAGTAAAAACACTTTCTAGTTTCTGTTGTTTGTGTTTCAGCAAGCTTCTACCAGACTTACACGCCCCAGCCTGTCGTGCATCAAGTTGACCCCGGTGTGGTCCGACTCCTCAAGCAGTCCACCACACCAACGATACCTCATCAACCCTGACGACAGCTTCATCAAACTCACCGACCCCCACAATGGGCACTGTGTGGCCCACACAGCCGCAGCAGACATAGCATACCTGTCCCAGGTACGTCTTACCCTACACAATGGTGTTTGTTTGACCACCGTTTAGAGACAAGCATATCTAAACTTCTGAAGACTTCTTCTAACCAGCGACTTGATGCATCAGTTGCAATCTGTGGGTGGCTGTGAACTTATTGTAGATGTGGTTTTTGAAGCACCAAGAGCTCTTTGTGGATACTGGTCTATTGAGATTGTGTGTCATTACAGGGGTTCATCAATGTGTGAAGCCCATTTCTTGTGTTCTTCGCCGTGATATTGCTGGAATATCGCTAAAAGTGGCGTAAAACCCAACTCACTCACTCCTAGTTAAATGCCTGTATCATGTTCTGATGGTGAGGTACATGGATCCATCACAAGTTTTCATTCTGTGGAGATTTCCCAATGTAAGAGATTGTGTATGACCCCTCTTCCTGGCTGTAGGTTACTGCTAACACTGCAGCTGTCAACCAGCACGTCGCCAAGAAGAAGCGCAAGTTTGTGGGGAGAACCACAGTTATCAACTCCACATCGACTGCTGTCACCACCATGCCATCTGAGACCACGTCATCGCCGCCAAACAAACAACCAGCCCCCGAGGGGGAGGAGAACAGTTCCTTTGAGACTGTTGCAGAAGCTCTGCGATTACAGTGGTCTGTAATAGGTGAGTCTTAGGTAACAGTGTGATGGATAAGATGATTACTCCCAGTATTGTACCTTGGCCTGTCTGACTCGATTACAGTTGTCTGTTATAGGTGAGTCTGAGGTATCATAGCATTGTGGATAAGTTGTATGGACCCCTAGATTAGTCCCAGTAGTATACCTTGGCCTGTCTGACTCGATTACAGTTGTGTGTTATAGGTGAGTCTGAGGTATCATAGCATTGTGGATAAGTTGTATGGACCCCTAGATTAGTCCCAGTAGTATACCTTGGCCTGTCTGACTCGATTACAGTTGTGTGTTATAGGTGAGTCTGAGGTATCATAGCATTGTGGATAAGTTGTATGGACCCCTAGATTAGTCCCAGTAGTATACCTTGGCCTGTCTGACTCGATTACAGTTGTGTGTTATAGGTGAGTCTGAGGTATCATAGCATTGTGGATAAGTTGTATGGACCCCTAGATTAGTGCCAGTAGTGTACCTTGGCCTGTCTGACTCGATTACAGTGGTCTGTTATAGATGAGTTAAGCTATCACAGCATTATGGATAAGTTGTATGGACCCCTAGATTAGTCCCAGTAGTGTACCTTGGCCTGTCTGACTCGATTACAGTTGTGTGTTATAGGTGAGTCTGAGGTATCATAGCATTGTGGATAAGTTGTATGGACCCCTAGATTAGTCCCAGTAGTGTACCTTGGCCTGTCTGACTCGATTACAGTGGTCTGTTATAGATGAGTTAAGCTATCACAGCATTATGGATAAGTTGTATGGACCCCTAGATTAGTCCCAGTAGTGTACCTTGGCCTGTCTGACTCGATTACAGTGATCTGTTATAGGTGAGTTCTGATGGGTATCACAGCATTATGGATAAGTTGTATGGAGTCCTAGATTAGTCCCAGTAGTGTACCTTGGCCTGTCTGACTTCGATTACAGTGGTCTGTTATAGATGAGTTAAGCTATCACAGCATTATGGATAAGTTGTATGGACCCCTAGATTAGTCCCAGTAGTGTACCTTGGCCTGTCTGACTCGATTACAGTGATCTGTTATAGATGAGTTAAGCTATCACAGCATTATGGATAAGTTGTATGGACGCCTAGATTAGTCCCAGTAGTGTACCTTGGCCTGTCTGACTCGATTACAGTGGTCTGTTATAGATGAGTTAAGCTATCACAGCATTATGGATAAATTGTATGGACGCCTAGATTAGTCCCAGTAGTATACCTTGGCCTGTCTGACTCGATTACAGTGATCTGTTATAGGTGATTCTGAGGTATCATAGCATTGTGGATAAGTTGTATGGACCCCTAGATTAGTCCCAGTAGTGTACCTTGGCCTGTCTGACTCGATTACAGTGGTCTGTTATAGATGAGTTAAGCTATCACAGCATTATGGATAAGTTGTATGGACACCTAGATTAGTCCCAGTAGTGTACCTTAGCCTCTCTGAATCAGCTTTTGGGCTTCTCCTAAGTGCTTAGTTGATTGAGGTGGCCTAGCGTCTAGAGGCACTAAGATGCAACCTATGTGCATCAAGTCTGCAGTAATCGGGTGAATGGGGGTTTTAATCGTTCTTTGCCCAGTTATGTTTCTAGGTATCAAGCAGGTCTAAGACCTGCTACAGTTTGGTCTTTCTTTCCACAATAATGGCATTAAGTTGCATTACAGCCCAACTCTTGTGTGTAACTTCACTAATCTGTAAAACTTAAACACCACTTTGATAATTTAGAGAATAGAGTTAAAAAGAAGAAAACTGAATGTGAATAGTTTCTTACCACTTGGGGGCGGTAGGGTAGCCTAGTGGTTAAAGCATTTGCTTCTCACACCATAGACCCATGTTTCAATTCCCACATGGGTACAATGTGTGAAGCCCATTTTCTGGCATCCCCTGCTGTGATATTGGTGGAATATTGCTAAAAGCAACGTAAAACTAAACTCATTCACTCACTCATTCACTTACTGGTGCGCAGCCTGATGGTTAAAGCGTTCGCTCGTCACGCTGAAGACCCAGGTTCGATTCCCCACAGGGGTACAATGTGTGAAGCCCATTTCTGGTGTCCACCGCCATGATATTGCTGGAATATTGGTAAAAGCGGCATTAAACCACTCACTCACTCACTCACTCACTCACTCACTCACTCACTCACTCACTCACTCACTCACTCACTCACTCACTCACTCACTCACTCACCTCTTTGAATAACATTGATTGTAGAAATAAAAATAGAGAATGATTATGTATTGTTAATAATTTATGTCATTTGCAGTGAGATATAACTATTGTTATAACCCGTGAAGATCCAGGTTAGAATTGGTCTTCAGCACCCCATGCTTGTTGTATGAGGCAACTAATGGGACTGGGTGGTAAGGTTCGCTCACTTGGTTGACACATGTCATTGTATCCGAATTGTGTACATCGATGTTCATGCTGTTGATCACTGGATCGTCTAGTCCAGACCCGATTATTTACAGACCACCACCATATAGCTGGAATATTGCTGAGTGTGGCGTTAAACAACAAACAAACACATCACTGTTGTTGCTCTCATATTCAGGTAACAAAGACATCACTCCAGCATCACCAGATGTTGTTGCTCAGATTGTTGCTGAGGCAGAGAAGAAACTCAAAGCTGGTGATGGATCAGGGACCACAACTCCTGTGCTGGACACATCAAGGGGAACAACTCCTGTAATACCAGGAGCCACAACTCCCACCACTCCAACCCCAAGGGGGACAACTCCTACCACACAAACTCCAAGGGGGACAACTCCAGTTTTGCCTGAAGCAGCAAACCCAAATCTTCCAAGTCCCGGTGCTACACATGATTATTCACAGGTGATAACTTTTGCATGTTAACTAACAAGTCTTGATAAGGCTGTAACCATTGTTACCAAAGACTTAGGCAAAATGATTAGGTTGTGATGACTAGATTTGAGACCTGCACTTCAGACTTTCTTTCAGACCTGCACATTCAGCTGACATGCAGTGATATAACGGGGAATACTATCCAATACGATGCCAAACCCAACTCATTTGCTTAATGGTTAAAGGGTTCACTTGTTCTGGGTTTGATTCCCTACATTGGTACAATTTCTGATGTTCTTGCACAAAAACTGTACTGGTACAAACGTGTTCTCGAAATACCACATGGCTGTCTGAAGTTCCTTATCCTTCAACCTTCCCTTATGTTGTAGGTGCCAAGTCCAACTTTGTCTCCTCAATCACCAACAGCTGAAGTGATCAAACATGATACTACTGACACCCCGCACAGTGTTAGTAAGGAAACTACAAAGAGTGCAGATACTGCTGAGACCAAGGAACTGATCCGCATCCCTGCAGGATCCCTGACACGGACCACCACCAAAGAGAAATCTGGCTGGTTCGGAGGCAAGGACCCCAAGGCAGCAAAGGTAGGACCGAAGGGTGACAAGAAGAAGTCTGACAAGCAGAGGAAGGTTTCTGAGGACAGTCTGCAGGATGGACCTGTGAATGGTTCCGGAAGTGTGAGTGACAGGACAGATGATACCAGGAGCGTGTCCAGTATCTCCAGTGAGCAGGAGTTGGAGAAATATAACCAATCTGAAACCGACAACTTCTTGAAATCTTTGCCTCCTGTTAAATCAGTGGATATGAGTCAGTTTGTGCAACATAGACACTCGCCTCCTGTGAAGGAAACCTCTTTTAAACCTGTACATAATGCAAAAAGTCCTGCCCAACAAGCCAAAGTCACATCCTCAGATTCGGGAGTGGACATGGATGTTAGTTCCCTTTTGCAACATCCGCTTACATCTACACCTTATGCAATTCCAGCAAACAAGCCACAAATATTTGTTCCACAAATTGGTCCCTTGTTTCCAAAGACAGAGCCGGTTGTGTACAACACTAGCTCACTGCTTCAGCGTCCTGTGAAGACCAGCAAATACGGTGATGCAAGTCCAGCTATGAAGAAGCAGTTGGATGAGGCTCTGAGAGAGAAAGCCAAGCTAGAAGGACAGCTGGAGGTGCTAACACAGGAGGCGCAGTCCACACTCCAGGAGAGAGCTGAGTTACAGGCCCAGCTGGCCTCACTCAGACTCAAGATTCTGTCTCACAAAGGCGGAGAACATGATCCAGAAAAAGAGTCCCTTAGACATGAGGTTGATATGCTGAAGAAATCGCGAGAAACCTTGGAACAATCAGCGAGAGAGATTCAGAAACTCCTAGAGGAGAAAATCGAAGAAAGTAAAATCTCTCATGAAGAACTTCAAATGACCCAGGAGGCTCATGACAAGCTGCAGCTCAGAATGAAAGATCTGAGAGATGATATCATGTCTAAAGAAGTAGCAGTACAGGCTCTTAAGAACAAGGTAGCTGAGCTCTATGTTGAAGTGCAAAATGGACTGCAGTCTAAAAAGGAGTTTGAAAATGAGACAAGATCTGCCAAAAGTGATCTTGTGTCTCTTCTGAAGACAAAGGAATGGTACCAGCAGCAGTTGCAGTTGGCGCATGATGTCAGGTCACAGCTCCAGAAGGAGTTGACCATCCTACAAGCCCAGAGTGTCAGTCAGGGAACAATTGTTGAGCGGTTGAAAACAGACAATGCTAAGCTAAGGGTGCAGCTGACTGAAGCTCAACACAGAGCCCTGAAACAGAAGGAGATGCTCGCCAAGCATCTTGAAACAATTGAATCTGACATGATGGAGCGTGAGGCAGCCTTTCAGGAGATTCAGAGGGAGAGGGCAATGATTGAAGATACTTTCAATACACAGATTACCTCAGCTGAAGATGAAAGGTCCAGACTGAATCTTCTCATGCAAATCAACAATGACCTGCAAGCCAGGCTGGACAAAGCTCAGGAGGACCTCAAGAAGAAGCATGGGCAGATATTTGATATGGAAAATGAACAGATGGAGTTGATGAAGAAGATGACTCTCTCCCAGGAAACTCTGATGGAGAAGGAGAAAGAGCTTGAGGATGTGAATCAGAAGCTGATCGAGGTTGAGGCTCAGCTGAAGGCCTTCCAGGCTGAGATCACACAGAAGGACAAGGAGATCCTTCAGCTGAGGGAGGAGAAGGCTTCAGCAGAAATCTTGTATCAAGCTGTGAAGGAGGAGAAGACAGTGGTGGATGAAGCCCTTGAGAAGCTTCAGAATGATATGTACAAGGTGGAGAAGAGCTTCAAGATGATGAAGAGTGAACTCAATATGAAACTGACTGAGTTGGAGAAGGTGAACTCAGTCAAGTCTCAACTTCAGAAGGAGCTTGAGACCATGAGGAAGGATCTCAATATCAAAAACCGTAGCTATGAATCAATGCATACAGATTATAATGGTAAGTCAACTCAGGTGCAGCAATTAGAGATCCAAAAGACCTCCTTGGAGAGTGATGTGAAAATGTTGAGGGAACAGTTAGCTGCAGTTATGTCGACTCAGGATACAAGTGTGACAGAGAGACAAGCATTGATTACAGAGCTTTCAGAAACTAAACAAAGGCTAGAGGCAGCAGATCAACAACTCACCATGAAAGTGGACAGTGTTAGTGTACAGCAGAGTACTGAGAGTACTGTGTCAGATGAAAGGTATGAGGACATATCCAGGGAGAACCAGGCTGTGAAGGACAGATTAGCAGAATCAGAACAAAGGCGAGAACATGAGAAACAGAAACATAAAGAACACAGTGAACAGCTCAATAATGATCTTAGCTCTCTGAAGGAAGAGTTGACGAGCAGACAGAAGGCGTTTGAGGTCAACGTTGAGACACTGAGTTCCCGACTGCGAGAGGTGATGGCAGAGAAGGAGAAGGTGCAGACAGAGCTGGAGATGATGCAGAGACAGTTTGAGATCAGTTCCATTGAACAGCAGGACCAGATGAGGACAGAGCTACAGGTAGGTGATGCTTCATGGATGTCAGGGTGGAACTGTTTATAAAACATAAGAGAGCATTGTTCAGAGGTAGTGGTGTGCCTTGATATTCTGGTAATGGTGAATTTCAGGAATTTGGTTTTGGGGATTCTCAGGGAGCCAATAGTGGATGGTCTAAGGAAGCACGTGGATGCAAATTTCAGGCAAATCTCCAGATACATGTTTAGGGGACCACAGGAAATTGATGATGGGGGATCTCAGGAAGCAGATGTGGAGGAGCTCATGGAGGGGGATCTTCAGGTTGGGAATCTTAGGAAGGGCATCTCAGAAGGCACATGGGTGGAATCCTAGGAATCAGTAGGTGGGAATCATTGGAAATATAGTCGATACCACATGCTTGCATCAATACATATAGATTGACAGTCACGTTTTGTGTTACCTGGTTTAGTTGTGGTAGCCTCTCGTGAAACTTTAATAATGATTTTTCAAACCAGACTCTGGCCACTGAGTTGTCAACATCCCGTCTATCACAACAAGAACTTCACAGTCAACTTATTGCTCTACAACATGCCAAGGAGACAGAAGTAGCCACACTCAGGCAGGAGTTGTCTGCTCTTGATGCAGCTCTACAACAGGTGAGGGAGGAAGAGAGTGAGAGGGAGAAGACAGATGAGCTGAATCAGCAGCTGTCCTTGGAGCTGGAGAAGGAGCGAGGAAGATTGGCAGGTTCGTGGTGGGATGATATACAGGTTATCACATGGCAGTCGCATACAATTGTTTCCTATTATTGCCTTAAGCAGATGTGGGATTTGCTTGTTTCTTTCTTCATTATCAGACTCTGAACTATGACACTTATACAGAGATTTAACTGGGTTACTTATTTATGAGATCAAAGATTACAATTGTGGGGGCCAAAGCTGTAAAATGTTTATCTCAAGCTGTTTGTAAGTTGATGGGTTTGTTACAGGTTTGGTGCAGAACAACAGTTCCTTGAAGCAGCATGTGTCCCAGCTGGAGGAGGCTCTGGCACGAAGAGAGTCCTCCCTGGTGGAGGTCCATGCCCAGTTGACCGATGCCATGGCAGGACAGGACAATGTCCAGCAAGACTACCTTCGCCGGATCCAGGGTCTTGAGGACCTCCTGCAGAAGGAGAAGGATGGTCAGAGGGACCTCAGGAAGCAGGTGGGTTCAAGGACATTAAGAAGCTGGGGGTGGTTGTTGACATCACGAAGCATGTATATAGAGAGTACAGAACCTCAGAAAGCTGGTGGGTAGGGTCCCTGGGAAGTACTTGGGTAGAGGGTCCCTAGGAAGTCAGTGGGAAGAGGGATTCTAGGAAGAGGTGGTTAGAGGGATCCTAGGAAGCTGGTGGGTAGGGTCCCTAGGAAGTACTTGGGTAGAGGGTCCCTAGGAAGTCAGTGGGAAGAGGGATTCTAGGAAGAGGTGGTTAGAGGGATCCTAGGAAGCTGGTGGGTAGGGTCCCTACGAAGTACTTGGGTAGAGGGTCCCTAGAAAGTCAGTGGGAAGAGGGATTCTAGGAAGAGGTGGGTAGGGTCCCTAAGAAGCCAGTGTGTAGAGGATCCTAGGAAGCCAGTGTGTAGAGCAATCCTAGGAAGACAGTGGGTAGAGGGATCCTAGGAAACAGGTGGGTTGAAGGTAGGGGGCCTTAGTAAACATGATGGCATAGGGGATGGATATAGTCAACAGGCTGTTCGTTTCCACAGATCGGGACAAAGATATCAGAGAACAAACGTCTGAAGAAACAGTCAGATGCTTCAAAGCAGGACCTGGAGCAGTTGCGACAGGATGTGCAGACACGAGATGCGACGCTGAACCAGCTGCAGGCTGATCTGGACTCCAGCAGACAGACCGTGTTGAGCCACCAGGCCCAGGTGACCAGCCTCTCCTCTCACAACAAGGGGCTGGAGCAGGAGCTGGAGAGGGTGCGGCGGGATCTCGCAGACAACATCGCCCGCAACCCCCTCATCATGGAGCAGATGCAGGTAGGAGAAGCACTAGGAATGTGGCTGTCATGTAGGGAGGTTCTGGTAGGAATAGAATCAAGTGTGGTTGTTGGAGTTCCAGTAGTGTAGCTGTTAGATAACTGTACAAACGTGGCTAACATGTTTTGTAAAGATGATTACTCTTTCAATACATAAATGCAAAATCAGAAAATAATATTTGTTATGTGCTATGCCTGACGGTAATGTATTCTGTGTTGCAGTCCCAACAGTGGCAGCTGCAGCAGAAGTCGGTAGAGGTGGACCAGCTGCAGGAACAGCTGCGTCTGGCAGAGCTCCGACAGCATACGGAGCTGAACAGCATGAGGAAGACCCTTCAGGTTGGTACAGGCAGCTGTAACATTACTTCTCTGTTGTCTAGAAAACCTTAAATTGATACCAACATGTTAAAATGTCACAAGAGTGAAGATCTAGATTGGAATTGGTCTTCAGCAAGTCTTATAAGGAGGCGAATAAGGGATCTGGTTGTCAGGATCGATGATTGGTTGATATCTTGCCCAATATGTGTGGATTTATGCTTGATTATTTACAGACGACCTTTAAATATCTGGAAGATTACTGTGTGTGGCATTAACCAACTCATTTACTGCTTGGTGTAAGAGAAAGTATACAGGATCGGTTTGTCAATTTCCAAATGAACAAAGGGATCTGAATCAAATGCCAAAACTGTTTTTGTAAGAGTCAACAAACATAGGCATCCCTAAGCTGTGCCATTGCTGACCATGGTGGTAAACGTCACTGCCTCATGTATGCCATCTCCTACAGGAAAAGCAAGAGGAGATTGACTCTCTGAAGGCGGAGATGGCAGCCATTAGGAAGGACAAGCTGAGTCAGAAGACCCGCGTCACGGAGCTCCGGAGTGCCCTCAAGTCATCAGTGCAGCACCACAAGGTGGGGGAGCAGTTCATATTGTTTTTATTTGGTTTAGGAATTTTTGTCAAAAAACTTGTTGGTAGTTTGAACGTATACATAAACATGAAAAACAAAGTTCATTCTCCAATATGTGTTTTTTATTTCATGCAGTGTTTCACCATACTTCATCTGTTTTGATGCATTTTCACAGTTTTTGTGTTATTTTAGATGATGTATGTATTGATGATAGTGACAGTAAATGGTTGAAATCTACTTACCAATGATTTACAAGGCTGGTGGTATAACAGAACCTTGATTGCCATGCACTTATTTTGGTGCCTATGATTGGAGTCATGGACTTTTATCATGGGATGATGTTCAGATATACCGGTGCAAATAATCATGATCGTGATAACTACAAATCTACAGCTTGCAAAGAAGATCATCTCCAAGAAGAAGGAGCTTCAGATGGCGGCAGGTGATGGGGTGGTCACGTCCAGCGGTGAGGATAAGGGGACGCAAGTCAACTTTGAAACCTCTACCCCCCTTCCGGCGCCGTCCTTTGACCTGGAGGCTGTGGAGAGGCTCCTGCAGGACACGTCAGTGAAGGCCCTAGAAAGCAAGTAAGTCACTCTGACAATCTCAATAAGATACATGATAGATAAAGATCGGTTTTTTATCTTTAAAAATATTTACAGACAAGTATGCAACATTTTCATGGGGTTGTGGGCAACGTACATTTAATGAATGGATGAAATGTCAGTTTTTCATTTTTAATATGCAAAAATATTTTCATTTGAGATATACACAGTCATGCTCTGGAAAATGCGATGACAGAACTTGAATACTGTTCATAGTGACGTTAAAGTCACTCACTCACTCAACCCGTGAAGGTTCGGGTTAGAATTGGCCTTCAGTAACCCATGCTTGTCTTAAGAGGCGACTAACGGGATTGGGTGGTCAGGCTCGCTGACTTGGTTCACAAGCGTCATCGTATCCCGATTGCGTAGATCGATGCTCATGCTGTTGATCACTGGATTGTCTGGTCCGGACTTGATTATTTACAGACCGCCGCCATATAGCTGGAATATTGCTGAGTGCGGCGTAAAACTAACTCACTCACTCACTGTATAAACTCCAGTATAGTACTAATATTTCCAGTATGGTTCAAATATTTCAAAGAATGGTTACAATATCATTTACTTTGTGAATCACATACTTTCTAAATGTCATTCATTGTGTGAATACCAATCTTTCTATATTGATGGTTACAATAATACTGGTTGTAAGATTTGTTGTGAGGTGTGTATGTATGGAGTTGTCTCCCTTGTACAGACCCCTGGACAACCTTCAGACCTGCCTGAGCTCACTGAGGTCCGAGATCTCCGGACTCCAGAGGCAGATGGATGTCCACACCACCACTGTCCACACGTCAAACAAGAGCTGGAGGTACGTGGGGGCGGGGGAGGGCGGGGCTCTGATCTGGCACAGTCTTGCAGGGGAAGAGATTTTCTTTTGTTGCAATATGAGATACAATCCTGATCAAATACCAGTATGTGGGTCAGTCATTTATTGAACACTTTGTCTAGTAAAGTTCTGCAATATCTTGTAAGCTCAGCTGATAGTTGTCCCTGTTTGTCACACTGTAAAAAAATATTATACACCATTTTTATGTTTTTACAATGATTTGATACAACACTTTTCTACATTGTCACCAAATTTGAAAAATACTTTAACGACATTTTGATCCATGTTCTGGAAATTGAACCAATCCGTAATCATCAAGTGAAAATGATGTTAAAAACCAACTGTGGGCTAGTAGAGGGCAAAGATATTTGACGCAGAATATGTGAAACTTCAGTCTTCAGATGTCAAAGGAACGTATCCATTATCAAAGGAAAGCGATAGTAGCTGTCAGATGTTCAGTAGCTTTGAGTATTCTTCGTAGTTGAGTTGCAGACAGTATTGTGCAATTTGTGTTTAAACATTTTACTTTTCAATTGGCCTTCAGCAACCCATGCTTGTCGTAAGAGGCGACTAACAGTGGTTAGGTTTGCTGACTTGGTTGACACATGTCATTGTATCCCGACGGCGTAGTTCGATCCTCATGATGTTGATCACTGGATTGTCTGGTTCAGACTCGATTATTTACAGTCATATAGCTGGAGTATTGCTGATTATTAACAACAAATACACAAAGGACAGTGCATCTGCCAGGAGAGTGGCAGGTTGATGGTTCTATCTCTGATCACGTAATGCTAGAAGACGTCAAGAGATGGTACTTGTAGGTACCCTGCCTGGTTGACTTGGAGTCAGAGTGTCGTGTCTCTATGAAGTATTCATGTTAAACTGAGAGAACACTGGCCCAAGAAAACTGGTGTAGGTCAGGGCCAGTACAAACAGTCACACACACGATGCATATGAATGACATAATCGTAAACTAAACCTGTTGTTGGAGCGGTTGATCAAATAATCGGTCTATCACTCGATCTCACCTGCATCAGTGATTATGGATGGGCTTGGGAGACTAAACGATGTTCGTAAAAAAAGTAAGAGAGTATATTTCCTATTGTTGTGTTTATTAAATGAAGACATAAACAACTTATGCAGTTTCCTGACTCGTGCGTCTCAACAGGAAGAATCCTGCATCATCTTGATCGTAGTTTTAATCAGTGCCTGTTTTGTGTGCGCAATGTTGTGATTATGTCTCATTGTTGCTCACATGACTTTTGAGGTGTGGTTTGCAATTACAATCGATTACAGAGCTCCAATTATCTATCTGCCTATTGTGAGTGATAACCATCACTAATTATAGTCTGTTTGCAGTGAAAATGTACCGATGAATTTCACTGTAAACAAAAGAGTAAATCGAATAAAGTGAAATTAAGATTACGAATCCTCATAATTTTACCTTGCCAACTGAACATTTAAATCTAAGAATTTTATTCAACTTAGGATAAAAGTTGTTTAACAAACGATCATAGATTCAAATCGCTATTATTGGGTTGTATTACAAGGGGGTAAGTGTAGTAGTTGGAACAGTGAAACAAATGCACGTGCGGTATGTGATGAGCGTTAACTTAGACCAAACCTACTTGTTCTCGGTGTTTCATTTAATGTGCCTACCCCCTTGTAATACAAACCAATAATAGCGATTTGAATCTATGATCGTGTGTTAAACAACTTTTATTCTAAGTTGAATAAAATTCTGAGATTTAAATGTTCAGTTGGCAAGGTAACATTATGAGGATTCGTAATCTTAATTTCACTTTATTCGATTTACGTTTTTGTTTAAAGTGAAATTCATCGGTACGTTTTCACTGCAAACAGACTATAGACTTTCATTTCAGTCAAACCTTGTTTCTCACTGTTACTTTGCCATAACAGGAGCATCGAGTCCGAAGTCAATGAGCTCCGAGAGGTGGTGAAGACAGTAGCCAACACAACCCTAGCAGCAACTACATCGACAACATCCAACGCCTCAGACGTTGTCCAGACACAGTCGGATATTGTGGACATTTAGATCATCCCATACAGCACAAATGACACCGCTCCTGTTGCTATGGTTTCACGTAGGTGACGAAGATGCACAACAGAATCTCATAACGTGATACTACAATGCTCACTGTTGTTGATGAGACTTTCACAGAATGAGTTTGAGTTGAATTCACTGACACAAATTTCAGTGACCACGATTTTTAAACTGGGATGACATTGCGTGAATGTGTATGTAAAGAGTGAAAGATGATCCCTTGCTTCTTTCAGTGAGTCCTGACAAGGTCATTTAATGTCCGTATACATGGGGGACAAGTTTGTAAATAGCAGTCATATATTGGCAGTAGCTGTGGTTGAACTCATCTTGGGACGACTTCTACCGCACTTTTAACAAGGTGACGTGTATATAGTTATTTATTTAATACCGATATTCATAAAGCATGTTTGTTTTGTCCTGTAAACATGTTGTTGTTAGTTGTGAAGCTTAAGTGATGCAGCTGTTGTGGAAGGATGAGTACTGTGAGAAGCCAGCTTAATTCTCAAAGGATGCAGGCACTGTGCCATGTTGGAAACTGAGCAACTGATTTAATTTTTAAAATTCTTCTGATACACTGCTTTGTATCATGCTTGAGCTCTCTACTGGTTTGGTCAAGTAGAAGCAAGGCGGTGGGGTAGCCTCGTGGTTAAAGCATTTGCTCGTGACGCAAAAGACCCGGGTTCGATTCCCCACATGGGTACAATGTGTGAAGCCCATTTCTGGTGTCCCCCCGCCATGATATTGCTGGAATATTGCTAAAACTTCACTCACTCACTCACTCAAGACGAAGCACCAGATAGTCATTTAAACAGTAATTTTCTTGTCTACTAACTCAAGTTATTTTGGCTAAACGATTACCGTAGACACAATTGCAAAGTTGGTTAACATTCTGAGTCTCTTCTTTATTATCACAGAAACAGCCACTGGTGTCACTATCACTTCACTGTAGCCCTACCGCAAGAGATGTACATAAACGACCCTGGCTTTGCATCAGCTTGCATGGTCTGGGTAAAGGATGATTATATTTTTAGTTGTAATGCAGTCATCATAATCATCTGTCAATTATTTATTTCCTTCTTGTAATGAGAGAAGACCGGGTATGTATTATTACACTGAATCTGACTACAGTGAAGCACCGTTCATCTTTATTTTTACCTGTCTGGTGGTTCTCTGTGTACAAGGGACATTACTGTAGACAAGATTACTTCATTCTATTTGTTTCCTGGGACAATATCATGGGAATATATTTCATCAGAATTTATTTCATTGCATAAGCCTACCATTGAACTTCAGACAGTGTAGTTTTAACATTCCAAATTCAAAGCGTGGGATTCAAGGGTGACCGAGTCATCCAAGTCATCACTAATGGTGCTGTGCAGAGAAGGCCAGGGTTCTGTGATCGTGGGTCGGAATGCCAGCATCTTCATTATGATTCTGGGTATTCCCATTAGTAGTATTAGCTGCAGCATCTTCAACAACTCAAGAAAGGAACAAGTTATGTGCGAGAAACATAATGCACGGTTTGTAAATAAACAGTGGAAACAAACCCTGGAAATATTGTCGGTGATGTCTGTGTTCTCAGTGTCGAGTACTTCTCTCTGTGTATGTGATGCTGTCTTAAAGAAGTTCCTGGAAGTACAAGAACACCAACAATCAAAGACACTTGGTGCCACTGTTCAGTCAGTACTGCAAATAATTATTTTCCTTGTTAAACAGTTTGTAGTTCTAGCTTTTCTAATCAATTCCTTCAACAGATGGACGTACATTCACCAAAGCCAAACATATTCCCAGTGTCATCATACCCAAAGTGTGAAAATGAAATCCAGATTTTATTCCTACTTTTGGTGTAATAGTGTGAAATTCAGATTTTGTTGAAAACGCACATGAATCTAGATTGTTTTAGTATGTTTCTGTTACCATGGTTACAACCAATTGAATGCTGTTGTGATATTTGTATGTAGTACTCTTTAGTTTCAGCTCTACCCTTACTCACAGGGGTGGAAATAACTTTAAAATTGATGGTGTACTCCGGTACAGTGGCACATGTAAAATCACTTGCCCTGATAATTTTTCCACTATACCGGCCGTTTTCTTGTTGATTTTTTAAATAAACAACATAATTAACATTGGAATATCAACTGGACACCGGTACAGTGTGATATACAAATTTGCTTGTCCGACAGAAAAAAACACTGGACTCGGACGTCGGGCAATGGGTTATTTCCACCCCTTACTCAACATTCTATTGGCATCATGTCTTATCATGGTATTATGTTTTACTGCAGTAGAGCATGGTCAGAATGAACTTGGAGATAGTTTATTATTATTATATTTTTTTCGGTAGAAAACAAATTGGCAAAAGAAAAATGATATTTTGCAAATTTCAAAACACAAGAAGTTATGATGAATTGCAACAGATCCTGTTTATAAGAAATTTTCTGTACTTGACATTTTACGGAAGTCAGAACAAAACATTTGAAATAAGAATATTTCATTTCAGACCTGTTTTCATTATGAAAGGCTTTAATAGCTATATTTTGTCATAGTTGTTGTATTTATATCATTATAAAATCAACATTAGCTGACAGATTAGTGACAACAGTAGGCAGGGGTTTCAAAGTCTTTCAATGAACATGTCAAGGACAATTATTGGAAGATGTGCTCCGTATAAATCCACATTTTCAAGAGGCCATCCTGACTGTTTATTAATGCTTGTCAGCAGGGCGGTGGGGTAGCCTAGTGGTTAAAGCGTTCGCTCGTCACACCAAAGACCCGGGTTCGATTCCCCACATGGGTACAATGTGTGAAGCCCATTTCTGGTGTCCCCCCACCATTATATTGCTGGAATATTGCTAAAAGCGGCAAAAACCATACTCACTCACTAATGCTTGTCAGCAAATTATATTGAAGTGACCAATCGGCTTGAGGAAGACATGATGCTATTATCTTACTACTATTGTCAATACTTCATGTGTGATGAAAGGAAACAGTGTCCAAACCAGGAACTGTTGATGTGGAAATGCAAGAGCCAGGCATTTTAAAAGTATACTGGCCTTGCAAATTTAAAATTGTGTGTTTAAGCTATCTGCTTGAGCTGTGTGTCTGTGATTACTGTTCTGTGATTGTAGAATGATTAATTGTAATGATATTAATGTGCCCCGTGCTGTGTGAGTCTCCTGATCACGACGTGGAATTCTTGTTGAGTTTTGTTGATAAATATTTTGATACACTGTACATAAACCTCATCAAAACCTTGTATGACAACTATGCACTGTGTTTGTATCTGCGGCACAGGGAGGGTGGTTATTTCTTACAGAGAACATTGTTTCATCTTCCTGGACTGTTATTATTGTAATTATTTTGTGATGCTCTCTATGGCCTTCAGACATGACTCTGTGAAAGATTTACAATATTTGTTTTCTTTTCAGTTGTTTTTGTTCAGCATAATGATTTTACTTCTTACGTCCCTCGTCCTTTGCCTTACGATAAAACGTGCCCGATGGGTTGTAGGCAGCGTTCAAAATTAATATTGACCCTTAAGCCCGAGGCTGACTGAAAAACACTTGGACCTACAGCTTTTGTTTTCTGCAGGTGCTTATGCTTTTCATCCCCAATAACTAAGAGTATTATTTCCATATTAAGATATAGGGCCTGCACATTCAGATCAGGACCCACAACTTTTATTGTTAAGGGCAAACACTGGTTGTATGACTGATAGTATCACTCTTGATCTTGTTGCCATCATAAAGTACATTGAAACCAATATTCTACCTTGTACTCTGATTTCCTTAGCAGTATTGTTTTGTCCCGACACCATATCTCCCTTGAGAACTTGCAATAGTCTATGTCGTTAATATATCCAAGATTGGTTTATGGCATTCAACATGGCCGCCAGTCCTGTAAATTTCCCAGTAACTGAAATCTGTGACAGGACAAATGTGCATGACAATATAAGTAACTCAACAAATATGGCCAATAGTTTGACATAGTTAACTGAAAAATAAGAACACATATATTATATTGTTTCATATTCTTGACAGTGTGCAAAGAGTTATCTCCCCTAATGTCAAACACCTTTGAAGAGATTTTTAAAGAGCAACAAACACCTTAGATGTCACACAACATGTGAGAGAATTTAAAGTGCATCAACGCCCATGGGTTGGCTAATGATAAAGGAAGACATCTGTAAGTTTCTATTTTAAGCAACCAGAATTGATATGTTTTGCTGTCAAAAGACACGAGTGGGTTGTTTGTATATCCATCTTTAAATGGTTGTGTATCACAGAATAACCGCTTTATGCTGTATATATAACCAATGTGGTTTTGTATTCCCAAGAAGAATTTTCTCATAATTAAGAAATTCAGGTCGACATCTAACAAATAATGAAAAAATGTTATGGGTGTTCTTCATGGGTTTTGTAAGGACAGTACAATAACAATACTGGTGCCCCCCTTGTAAGGATATATCACAACAAGAATGGTGGCTGGTTTACTAGATACATTTCTCTTGGCTGCAGGTATACTGATGATTGTATTGTGGGGAAGGCTTAGGCATGAATATGGTTTTCGTCATCTATTTCGTCATTTGAAATTATTCAGTGGAAGCATATTTTGAGGTTGATCAATGATTTTTTATTGTGTCGTGTAAGAAATCTGGTTCCTCCTGCTGCTGGTAATTCTTGCTCTTGAATCCACAAGTTCCTCCCATTGTCTACATTTAATTCAGATCATATATTAATGTGACCCGCCAGTCATGTTCAAAGGTTACTGGAGACACGGTCACAATCCAGTTGTTCACAGTTGGCAGTGATCAAAATTTACCTCACACTTTTTCTTTTGACATATCACGGGGACTGTAGTTTATATATTCATATATATGTAAATATCAAAACATTATCCTGTTATCTGAGGGGACGTTGCATTCAGAAGAGACAAGCTGTTGAAACTTTCAATTTATTTACTTCATTTCTCTTTGCTTCATCTAACAATTTTTACTGCTTGTGTAACAAAAATATCAATCATTTTGCTTTTGCTGTGTTCATATTTATTTTGGATCCATCCCTTCATGGGGCAGAGTAATTATACAAATATTGGTGCAATATTTGTTGCAGCAATTCCATATATGGAGTTACTTCCCTTTGATACGTTAGGATGTGCTGATAAAGTTTTTAATCCCAGATTTCCCTGACTGTACTCATGTATTTTGTTTGGTGTTACTGTCACACTTACCATATTCCAGGTATATTTAGGTGGCCTGTAAATAATCAAGGCTGGACCAGGCAATCCAGTGATTGACATCATGAGCATCAAACTCATGTGTTTTACCAGTGTTAATTGTCACTAACTATGTTTTTCTGGGCTTTTACTGACGTTAGTGCTTAAAACTGGTATACCTGTGCTTACAGGGGTTTACC